AATTCTGCAGAATCTCTGTAGTTTTGGCCCCTTTTCTAGTAAATTTTGTTGAAATTGAATATAATATGCATAGAAGATTTATTATTTGTAGAAATTGTATGGAAATTTGTAAAAACTTCTCTAGAAAATCTTCATAAAATTACATGCCATTAAATTTTGATAAAAATCTACCTGATAGAATTCAATAGGAATTCTTCTGAAAATCTTGTATGTGTTCAATGCGGTATTGTGACTTTGATTATAATTTTAATTGATCCATGTATATCTTTATTAATGTTAAATTATTCTATTTCTATAGATGCCAATACACCCAAGTTACAGCCAAAGTATAAAAATGATTTACAGACATATGCTCAGAGAAATAAATTAGAGTTACCTTATTATGTGCAATATGCAGGAAAAGATGGTAAGTTGTAGATGCTACTGTAGATATATATGTGTTTAAAAACAGGGGATTATGTCATGCTTTGTGTCATAAAGAAAATGTAAGATATAGATATTTTCATATCTGCTGTTGGAAAACATGCAGATAGAAAGCATCAAATTATTTTAGTGAATATAGCAATTCCATGTTGATCAGAGGGGATTGGCATGAGAGGGCGGCGTCTGATCTGGGTGGACTGTTTTGAAGTCAGTTATTCGTAGCACATGAAATAATTTTAGCAATTTATTTACAAAATAATCTTCAACAAAACTTGGAAACATCTCATAGAAAAATACAGAATCTAAAATTATGTCTATTGCAAACATTTCAATCGACAGCTAGTTTGACGCTGCCAAGTTGTCGACCATTTCTTCAGAAAATTCTGGGAATCTTTGCCCTTCGGCAGACACCGGCATCTGTTGATCCGACTCGTTATTACCGCCGGCGTTCTGTTGCTCCCATATAATTGTAGCTTGAAATATTTCTTCATCAGTAGCATCAATTTCATCCAGCTGGTTCCATTTGAAATTGAGATCAAAATTGATCTGAGGCTTGTCGTCTGACATAATTACTATGTTTTGAAAATGGCGCTAGTGACTTGCTGACGACAATACTTATCATATTTCAATCTAGCTTATTCCAGTTTTTGTTTTTACCTTGCCCGTACCATCAAAGATGGAAGGGAAAGGTATATTAAGGGAAAAATTTTGTCCGGCGTTGACGTTGTTGTTG